TGAGAGGAGGAATCTGAGAGGAGGATGAGGATGAGGATGAGGATGAGGATGAGGATGAGGATGATCATGATGATCATGATGATCATGATGATGATGATGATGATGATGATGATGATGATGATGATGATGATGATGATGGGATGATGATGATGATGATGATGATGATGATGATGATGATGATGATGATGATGATGATGATGATGATGATGATGATGATGATGATGATGATGATGATGATGATGATGATGATGATGATGATGATGATGATGATGATGATAATGATGATGATGATGATGATGATGATGATGAGGAGGAGGAGGAGGAGGAGAAGGAGGAGAAAGAGGTAAGGAAGAGATAGAGCAGGAGGGACTTCTGGACTGGATCATGTTGTACCCTTGATCAGGCAGCACTTATTCAGCTAAAGTCGCAGAGAGGAGAACGACGGCCGCTCTTCGGTGGCAAGCGTCTGGCCGGGCGGGACGTTACGCTGGCACCGGGTTTTTCGTGGGCCTGGTCGGCGGGCACGCATTACAGGGACCTTGCGATATCGACGCCTTTTACCTCCCCCCCAAACTCGGCGGAACTGTGCCGTGCGCTCTGACACACGAATGTGCCTGCCTGTGGCGCAGCCGCAGGCGGGAGGAGGGATGAGGGATGATGGAGGAGGAGGAGGAGGAGGCGGAGGATGGAGGAGGAGGAGGAGGAGGCGGGAGGAGGGAGGAGGGAGGAGGGAGGATGGAGGATGGAGGAGGCGGAGGAGGTGGAGGAGGAGGAGGAGGACGGGGGACGAGGGGGGAGGAGGAGGAGCATGGGGAGCAGGGAGGAGCAGGAGGAGGAGGAGGAGGAGAAGGTGGCGGCGGTCTTCGGGGCATCGGGTGTCGGTCCTGTGCGAGCCATGGGGACAGGGCGCTGACGGCGGGTCCTCTATCCTTCCCCCCTTCAGCGTGAGGAGGGGGGATGAGGAATAAGGGGAGGGATGAGGCTCAATCGACGGTGGAGAAGAAGGGGGGGTAGGAGTAAGGTTTGCGCGGCAGAGATGGGTCTTCCTGACACTGAATTGAGCGCCTGGCCTGATCTGGCCCCCGTCCTTGCATTCGCTTTCTGTGCTGCGTGGGCTTGTGAATGATCCACCGACCACGTTTCATAACACATGTTTGCCTCGATGTACTTAGTCTATCGGAAATCCCCCTCGGCGGATCCAGGCCACTTGCGAGTAGTCACTAGCGAGCATTGGAACGCGCTCGTCGAAGGACATGACCTTCCTCTGCGCGCGGGCCACGGCGTCTCTGAGGCGCCCCCGGGCCGAGAGACTCTTTTGGAGCAGCCGCCCCCTTGGCCAACCTGCCGATTTTTGTTGTGACGTTGCCCACTGGGCTTAAGTCGGGCCTGTCCCTCTACAGGAGGGATATTCAAACATAGGAAAAAATAGTCAGCGAACGATTTTTTTTGGTATTCTTTGAACATTTTGGGTTCTTTTTTGACTATTTTTTTTTGGTTCGTCCAAAATCCGCCTGCAGTGGAGCAGGCCCGGCTTAACACTGGGCCGCAGCCTACGACCCTGCCACGACCCCCGGGGAGCGCTCGGGGCGCGTGCCCGGCCCGCCCCGTCGCCCGCCCCTCCCTCTGGCCCGCCCCGGAGGCGGCCGCGCTGGCGGAGGCCGCGGCCCCGGCCGCACACACAATGACCTAGGGCGCCGGCGCGGCCGGGCCAGCGGCGATATGGACGATCGCCGATCTGGCCGGGGGCGGCGCCGCCAGGGACAGGCGTCTTCATCTTTCAAGCAGTGGCGAAGCGTCCTGGCTCGCCTATAGGTCCACCAAGTAATGTTTGAAGAACCTTTTGTGGTTTGCACGAATTGTTCTTAGAGCATTCCTGGCTGGGACCGTCTTGTTTTAACACATCTTGTTTTAACACATCGTCTTGTTAAGAACATGGACTTTGTTTTTCGAACATGTCTGGGTTCTGAGGACATTTCGTGGTAGGCCTATAGGAATGCTGGGACGGTCGGTCCCTGCTCAAATCTTGTCGAGCAAGGCGTTTTCGGCTTTTTTCGGGCCCGGGGGCCCTCGCAGATCGATCCGGCTTGGAAAATGACGCGGAAAGACGGGGTCTAGGGCTCCGGGCGTGATTTTCACGATTTTGCAATGTTTTTGCTATGCGTCGGATCTCAGGGTCGCCCTCGACCCTACGCCTTGCCTCCGCCCTTCCGGCTGGTCCTGCCGTCCCCTCTCTCCCTTGACTCCTTGTTCCTCCTCCTCCTCTTCCTTCTCCTCCTCCTCCACCTTCTCCTCCTCCTCCTCCTCCTCCTCCTCCTCCTCCTCCTCCTCCTCCTCCTCCTCCTCCTCCTCCTCCTCCTCCTCTCCTTGTCCGGCCATCCGTTTCCTCTCTCCTGCTCCCCCCGCTCGCCCTGGCGGCGCCGACGGCAGCACACGCGATGTCTGACCTGGTCGGGGCGTTGCAATTTTTTCACACCGGGCGTTTTCGCCGGGTTTCGGGCCCCAAGACCCTCACAGATCGATCTGGCCCGAATGATGCCGCAGAAAGATGGGGTCCAGGGCTCCGGTTTTGATTTTTTCGCGATGCCGCATTTGTGCCGCAACGTCGGATCTGAGTCCTGCTGTCCCCCCCTTTCCCCTTCCTCCTCCTCCTCCTCCTCCTCCTCCTCCTCCTCCTCCTCCTCCTCCTCCTCCTCCTCCTCCTTGTCAGGCCTTCCCTTTCCACTTCACTCATCCCCCCGCTCGCCCTGGCGGCGCCGACGGATGCACACGCGATGTCTGACTTGGTCTGCGGTGTCGAAGGGTTATCTTGGTACGCTCTGGGGGTATCAAGACCTCGGCTCGCTCTGGGGGTATCAAGACCTCGGCTGGATCCAGCATCCAGGGCGTTGATTTTGTTTGCTGGCGTAGCTCAATCATCAAATGCCGGCAGCCCCCGCGCCATACCGAACGCCTCGAGGCGGCACAACGAAGGCCACCAGGATCACGGAGAAGCGGATAACCATGCGATAGCAAGCCCAAAGCTGGATGAATTCAACTCCTTCCTCCCCTCCACCAGTAGGGCGGGGACTCGTTCAGGCTGAACTGCGTCGACGCCGAATCGCCCATTCATCGCCAACGTGGGCCTGATAGCCCACCCCGCCCAGAACCGCTCAGTTTCGCTATCGGGAGCCTATATCGCCGATCTATCGGCGATGTATCGCCGATGCCAGTTCGCTGCTTTTCCCCCTTGCTTCCACGCCCTCCCAGACATCCGATGTTTGGTTTTGTCAGTACGGGGTCCCCTGAAGTTGCAGCCCTGTCCCCAGGCAGGGCGTGTTTTTTTGTTTTTTTTTTTTTTTGTTTTTTATCCCGAGCCGTCTTCTGACGGGCCCAGCGATGGCCACCAGGTCACCAGAGGCCGAAAAAAACGGCCAAGAACCTTCCGCCGAGATCTCTGCCACGACTCCCCCCCGTTGTCTGGGCGTCCCTCCCGCCCTGGGCGAGCCGCCAGTGGAGGCGTCAGAACCACTCGGCCCACCTGGCAGGTGACGGGGGAACCGGGAGCCATCCGGCGGGTCCCCCATCAGGACTCGACCTGATTTCTGCTCTTCGTTTTCGTATCTCCCCTCCTCCTCCTCCTCCTCCTCCTCCTCCTCCTCCTCCTCCCTCCTCCTCCTCCTTCTCCTCCCTCTCCTCCCCCCCCCGTTCTCCCTCCTCCTCCTCCTCCTTCTCCTCCTCCTCCCCTCCTCCTCCTCCTCCTCCTCCTCCTCCTTCCTCCTCTCCTCCTCTCCCTCCTCCTCCTTCCTCCTCCTCCTCCTCCTCCTCTTCCCCTCCATCCTCCTCCTCCTCCTCCTCCCTCCTCTCCTCCTCCTCCGTCCTCCTCCTCCATCCTCCTCCTCCTCCCCTCCTGCCCTCCCTCCCCCCTCTCTCCTCCTCCTCCTCCTTCCTCCTCCTCCTTCTCCTCCTCTCCTCCTCCTCCTCCTCCTCCGCCTCCTCCTCCTCACTCCTTCCTCCTCCTCCTCCTCCTCCTCTCCTCCTCCTCCTCCTCCTCCTCCTCCTCCTCCTTCCTCTCCTCCTCCTCCTCCTCCCCCCTCCTCCTCCTCCTCCTCCTCCTCCTCCTCCTCTCCTCCTCCTCCTCTCCTCCTCCCCTCCTCTCCTTTTCCTCCTCCTACTCCTGCTCCTCCTCCTCCTTCTCCTCCTCTCCCCTCCTCCTCCTCCATCATCCTCCTCCTCATCCTCCTGCCTCTCCTCCTCCTCCTCTCTGTTCTCTCTCCTCCTCCTCCTCCTCTCCTCCCCTCCTCCTCCTCCTCCTCCTCCTCCTCCTCCTCCCCCTCCCCCTCCCCTTACGTTTTGCAGCAAAGGGTGGGCTTCGTTCACCTTTTGCTGCAAAACGGAGTCGAGACGAAGACGGTCCGCGAAGGCGCGAGGAGGCGACCATGGAAGGTACCAATACCGCTACTCACCAGATCTCTCCCGGGGTGCGTTCTGGCCCGAGTTTCGAGGCGAATCCAGACGCGGCGGCGACGAGGGCGTCCCAGGAGGCCCCCGAAGGCGAAAACGAGGGAAGGGTACAGGTATCGATACCTTTTTCTCCTCCGACCCTCGCTGCCGCTTAATAGCTTAATCCCGTTCTACCCACCTGAGTCCCGCTTTATCTGGCTACATCCTGGGCTCACTCAGGCCTTTTCCAGCCCTGTGGCCCCTCTCGCTTGGCAACCGTGAACCTTCTTGACGAAGACCTCTTAGGAGTTGCCTCCCAACGTGTCGTCTTCGCCCCGCCCTCGTTGCAGAACGGAGACGAAACGACAACGGCTCACAAGATAGCGAGGAGGCGAGGGTCGGACGGGGCTCAGGACGAGGATCAATCCGTTCCAGATTCAGAGCGTTCCAGAACGGTGTCCGAGCACTCCGGAACGCCCCGAGAAGGCCGCGGCGCCCGATACATGCTCCAGAGCTGCCTGATCTCAGAGATTTCCGATCCATCCTCACGCGATTTTCTTCTCGTCCTGGCTCCGTCTTAGAGGAGGCCCGAAGCCGTCCGAGGCGATGACCGGCGCGCTGGCCAGGACCGAGGCGACGCTCGGCGCCCTGGAGCCGCTGGGCGCGGGCCTCGAGGCGGGCGCCGGCGCCGCCGGCCTGGTGGACGTCCTGGCCGCCGCTGTGGCCGTGGAGGGCCTGGCTCCGCAGGTCGTCAGAGGAGGAAATCTCAGGGGCAACGATAGGGGGGATGCATCGACCTCCAATCAACCACTGATCGCCGATGGGGGCCTGATAGCCCCAACCTGCCCAGGAAGATGCGGATTCATCATCGGGGGCCCATCGCCGATCTATGGGCGATGTATCGCCGATTCCAGGTCGATGCATCCCCCCTATGCCAGTCCCACCCTATCGCTGCCCTTCAAAATCAAGCAGTGGCGACGCGTCTTATAGCGCGCCTATTGGCCCACCAAACAATGTTCTAAGCACCGTTTGTGGTTTCTACGAGCTGTTCTTGGGACCTTTCTGGTTGGGACTGTCTTGGTTCAGCACATCGGGCTTCTGTTCTAAGAACATGGATTTTTCCCAACCCTCCTTGGTAGGGCATTCGTTTTGAATAGAGCAGTGTGGTCTCCACTTCCTCCTTCCCTCCTTCCTGCATCCCGTCCCGCCTCCCTCTTGCCTCCTCCTGTTTTGCGTGCGGGGGGCTGCGATCTGTGAAACTGTCGCCACTTTCGAGGCCTGCTGGGGGGCCTAGCACAGTGACGCCACGGGCAGATTCAAATTAGACCTCGCCATCTCTGGGGGGGCTGCGATCTGTGAAACTGTCGCCACTTTCGAGGCCTGCTGGGGGGCCCAGCACAGTGACGCCACGGGCAGAGTCAAATTAGACCTCGCCATCCCTGGGGGGCTGCGATCTGTGAAACTGTCGCCACTTTCGAGGCCTGCTGGGGGGCCCAGCACAGTGGCACCCGCGGCGGATTCAAATTAGACCTCGCCATCCCTGGGGGGCTGCGATCTGTGAAACTGTCGCCACTTTCGAGGCCTGCTGGGGGGCCCAGCACAGTGACGCCACGGGCGGATTCAAATTAGACCTCGCCATCCCTGGGGGGCTGCGATCTGTGAAACTGTCGCCACTTTCGAGGCCTGCTGGGGGGCCCAGCACAGTGACGCCACGCGCGGACCCAAATTAGACCTCGCCATCCCTGGGGGGCTGCGATCTGTGAAACTGTCGCCACTTTCGAGGCCTGCTGGGGGGCCCAGCACAGTGACGCCACGCGCGGACCCAAATTAGACCTCGCCATCCCTGGGGGGCTGCGATCTGTGAAACTGTCGCCACTTTCGAGGCCTGCTGGGGGGCCCAGCACAGTGACGCCACGCGCGGACCCAAATTAGACCTCGCCATCCCTGGGGGGCTGCGATCTGTGAAACTGTCGCCACTTTCGAGGCCTGCTGGGGGGCCCAGCACAGTGACGCCACGCGCGGACCCAAATTAGACCTCGCCATCCCTGGAGGGCTGCGATATGAGATCCCCGCTTTCGAAGTGGCTAGGGTTGCTCAAGAATTGTAACTAATCAGCTTTATCTATTCCTTGTCCTGTATCCAGTGTCCTGCGAGTCTCCCGAATTCCGTCTGCAGACATATGTATCCCTCGCTCCGTCATCGCCCCCCTTATAAAGTGTCCTAAACTATTTGCGCCCCGCGTTTGCGCAGGGGTTGGGTACGTCGCCAGGGTAATGTTTTTTAGAACGTTCTTAGAACGCTTTTGGGTTCTCAGAAGATTTCGTGGTAGGTCTATAGGAATGCCGGGACGGCAGGACCCTTCTCAAGGAAATACCACCCATACCGCCACTCTCCGCCCGTTTTCCCCTTTTTCGGCCTCCTGGAAGGCCCTCGTCGCCACCGCTGGATTCGCCTCGAAGCTCGAAATCCTGGTCGAAACGCAACCCGAAAAAGGTCCGGGGAATACCGGTATTCGTACCTTTTGGTTTCCCCAGGTCGCTTGGGGAGGCGAAGTGTCAGAGGAGGAGCAGCCCTGATATCCCGGCGTTGCAATTCTTTCTCACGGAGCGTTTTCGCTGGGCTTCAGATCCTGGGCTCACCAATCGATCCGGCTCGAAGGATGGCACAGGAGGATGGAGTCCAGGGCCCAGTCGTATTTGTGTTGCGACGCTGCCATTTTGTTCGCAATCCTTGGGGATCTCAGGAAGGTGCCAATACCGCTACCATTGCCTCGTGTTGGTATTTTTTGGCCTGCTTGGAGGCCCTCGTCGCCACGGCTGGTTTCGCCTCGAAATTCTGGTCAGAATTCACCCCGGGAGAAGTCTGAGGAGTGGCGGTAGCGGTCCATTTCGGCTCCCCCAGGAAAGAGACAGAGGGAGAGCGGCGGAGAGATGATGCTGCTGCTGCTGATGATGACGATGTTGCTGATGATGATATGCTGATGATGATAATGGTGATGGTGATGGTGATGATGATGCTGATGATGTTGATGATGATGATTCTGATGATGATGAGTATGCTAATGATGCTGATGCTGATGTTGATGATGCTAATGCTTACAATGATGGTGTTTGTGGTGATGGTAATGATGCTGTTGATGATCTGCTGATGATGATGCTGATGGTCATGATGACGATATTGATGGTGATACTGATGGTGGTGGTGATGATGATAATGATGATGGTGGTGGTGATGGTGATACTGATGGTGGTGGTGAAGATGTTGATGGTTAAGATGCTGATGATGCTTATGCTGATGATGATGATGATGGTGATGATGCTGATGATGATGATGATTTTCATCATGATGAGGATGATGATGATGCTTATATGAGGATGATGATGATGACGAGGATGACGAGGTGATGTGAATGAGACTGATGATGACGCTGCTGATGATGATGCTGGTGATGATGATGCTGATGATGCTGAGAATGACGATAATGCTGATGACGACAACGATGATGGTGATGATGCTGCTGGTGGTGAAGATGGTGATGTTGCTGATGATGATGCTGGTGCTGATGCTGTTGATGATGGTGGTGATGTAGATTATGCTGATGATGCTGGCGACGATGGTGGCGATGATTATGATGGTGATGGTGGTGGTGATGACGATGACGGCGACGAGGATTCTGATGAGGATGATGAGCATGATGAGTGTTTTCATTATGGTGATGATGACGAAGACTATGATGCGGATGAAGTTGATGATGCCTTTACTGGTAATGACGATGATGAGATGATGATGATGATGACGAAGGACGATGACGACGATGATGGTGATGATGGTGATGGTGAGGATGATTATTTCGACGAGGGTGATGAGGATGAGGATGCTAAGGATGATGAGGGTTATCATTTTGGTCATGCTAGTAAGATGATGATACGGATGATAATGTTGGTGATGATGATGTTGCTGATGCTGATGATGACGATGATGATGACGATGATGATGATGATGATGATGATGATGATGATGATGATATGAGGATGGCGCTGATGACAAGGTTTGTGATGATTATGCTGCTGCTGATGATGATGATGTCGACGATGGTGATTCTGATGTGGACGATGATGGTGACGAAGAACATGAGGATGAGGATTGGGGTGGGGATGAGGATGATGATGATGCTGATGAGAACGAGGATGATGAGAAGGTTTAGTTTGATGAGGCTGATGATGATAACGATCATGATGATGATGCTGATGATGATGATGATGTTGATGATGATGATGATGATGATGATGATAATGATGATAATGATGATGGTGATGATGGTGATGCTGATGATAACGATTATGATGATGCTGCTGCTGCTGCTGCTGCTGCTGCTGCTGATGATGATGATGATGATGATGATGATGATGATGATGATGATGATGATGATGATGATTAGGAGGATGAGGATGAGGATGAGGATGAGGCGGAGGATGTTGATGGTGACGAGGAGGAGGAGGAATTGGAGGAGGAGGAATACGAGGAGGGGGGAGAAAAGTAGAGGGAGGACGATTTTTTGTGTATGAAGATTTTTTTTGCTGGCAACCACGCCCGCTCCCGCCCTGGGGAGATCTGGGGAGCGGTGGCCACCAGGCGTTGACACTGACTGATTTGCACCCTTGCCCCTCTCGGATGGTATCTACCCCCGCACTGCGCCCCGCCGCCGCCGGCCCCTTGGTGCCGCAGCCGCCGCCGGCCCGCCGGCGGGGCTGGCCGCGCCACACGCTCGGGGCGTGACCCGTCCCCCTGAGCGGCTCGCTCGTTCCGCCCCCTCTGTCGGCTGCTTCCTCTGTCTTCTCCCCATTCCTGCGCTGGCACAGTTCGCTACAACGGTACCCCCGCTTTGGTCGCCCTCCGCCAGCGCAGTCACTCTGCCCAGCCGCCGACGCAAAAAATGTGAGGTGCTGTTCTCTTTGCCTGTCTCAGGATCCCAGGGGGAGCCCCGTCGCCGCGGCTGGGCCCTCCTCGGAACTCCCGTCAGGAGACGAGCAGAAACAGGTACAGGGCCGAACTTCGAGGAGGAGGAGGAGGAGGATGAAGAGAAGGAGGATCCCAGCCACATCCTCCCCCTCTCCTTCTCCGGGTTATCATGAGGCCCTCTTCCTTTCTCGCTCCCACCTCGGGGTTGCTGGGGGACAGATACACGGCCCCGTGGAGGGTCCTCTCCTTCTTCCCGTCGGGGCTCTCTTTGTGTTTCGTGTTCGTATAGACAGCGACAGGAGGATGATTGAGTTACGAGCGCACGGGGAGAATGAGGGAGCCTCGTGGGTACTTGACACCGCCGTCGTTGGCGGAGGTGGGACCTCTTGGCGGCAGACTTGGGAAGCTCAGGGGCCACCTTGGAGCTTTCTCGGGGCCATCTTTCGTCATCAGGGGGTAATCCTTGAGGACTTGTTGATCGACATGACCACCTCGAGGCAAAGGTCGGCCACCTTGGGCCAGGCGGTCATTCGGGAGGCTATTGGACCACGTTGGCGCCATCGAGGGGTCGCTCTGGAGCCTGGAGGCCCCACCTTACAGTGAAGGCGCATCCAGCGGAGTACGTTCGGCCTGCTCGCACCCCCACCCCTATCCAGTTTGACGGCGCACATACCATCCACTCAGCCAGACCAGTCTCACAGGGTAAGCATCTGAGCACGGAGGAGCCACCACGAACATGTACAACCCGAGCCATCCTTCAGCCTGAATCGATCAGTCCAAGATTTCGGGCAAGGCGGTGTGAGATGAAATGGTTGCTAGCTGGATATACCGATGAGTAAAGCAATCAGGAACAATGTCATGACAGTCCCTCCCACCCTCTCAATCAGGGCGCACAACTGTTAATGTGTCAGTGAATAGGTGCCGTTGGTGCTGGTGAGAGCGTTAGTCGGAATAACTCATCTGGGCACCAGATGGTAGCGGTTTGGATGAATGGTTTCCGAGTCGTCCAATTTCATTGGCTAGATAAGGGTCTTCCATTCCCAGGCCCTCCTCCCTTCTGGCGCTACAGGTACTGATGGGCGCCGCTGTGGCAGCGATTGCCGCGTGGAGCGGATCGACGCGCCAGTCGGGCAACCAGGGCGTTGCAGAAGCAGGCTGGGCGGGGGGGGACGACGACCTCAAGCGGGCGTGGCTGGCCGTGCTGGAGCCCGAAGGTTACTCAAGGTCCATCTGCGCCCCTCCAGCTCGCCCTTCTCGGTTCGCATCCGTCCACGATGGATTGGCCGCATTTGCACTGCTTTCACCGTCCACGTATAGCTTGAGTGGGGGTGTGCAGTTCCGCCTCGGCGGGGCAGGCGCCAGACACGTGCCCCCCCCCCCCCCCCCCCGAGGAGCAGCACCCCGAGGCCGTCGTGCAGAAGGAGTTCCTGGGCGTCCCCTTCGAGCGGGACATGCTCAAGAGACGCCTGAACAGATTTGCGCGGCTGCTCGGCATCTCGGTGGCTCAAGCCGTACCGATCATCGAGGTCGACGCCACCCCCCTCCTGGTCGAGTCTGCAGACATCTCGGAGGTCCTGGGCCGCCTCGCCACCATCACCTCGGTGGAGAAGGCCCGCGAGCTCGTCAGCAAGAACCCGACGCTGGTCGCGGGGCGCGCGGCGGACAGGAAGAAGGAGGACGGCCTGGCCGTCTCTGCCATAGTGGATATCCTCTACGCCGGCCGCCTGCAGAAGGTCCTGGAGGACTCAGCCACGCGCAGAGGGGGGGCAGGGGGAGGCGGGGAGGCTCCTTAGAAGCACCATGCTTTTTGGAGGGCGCAGGCCTCATCTGTAAATGTACGGCTGGCGCCTCTAAGGAGCAGCTCCTTGTAAGACGCATTCACCCCTCCCCCTAGCCTTCTCTGCGCGCCGCCCGAGAACGGAACGCTCCCTCCCCCGTCCAGTGCGTCCCCGGCAGTGCCGCAAGGTGCCCGGCACGACAGTGTGACAGCGTGCAATGGTGGGGGGGCGGGGGCGTTGCGTTATCGTCCCCCCTGCCCCCGCCCTCCTCCCCACAACGCCCGTTATCGCCGCGAATGAAAACATGCTCTCGAGGACGGGGGGAAGGACACCCGCGGCAAGATCGCAGAGATCGAGCTCTATCTGGGGCGCCTCGCGGCGAGCTCCACCGCCTCCGTGCCCCCCTGGGAGGCGCCAGGGCGCCCAGGCAGCCTCGGGTGCGCGGTGCGCGGGGTGGGGGGCTCGGGCTCGGACTCGGGCCCGGGCCTGGGCCTAGGCTTGGGTCCAGCCCGGGCGCGGGCCTGGGCCTGGGCTCGGACTCGAGCTCAGGACCGGGCTCGGCCTTGAGCTCGGGCTCTGGCTTTGGCCCAGGCTCTGGCTGGGGCTTCGGGATAAGGCTTGGGCTCCGGCCCAGGCTTTGGCCTGCACCGGCATCAGAAGCTGCAGGGGGCCTCACCGAACAGCTCCAGGGCACTCCTCTCTGGGGGGAGGGAGCGGTCCCGCCGAGGATTCGTGTGGTGGACGCTCAGGTCTTGCTCTCCAGGTCCGCTTGGGCTCCTGACTAGGAGTTGCTGGTTCTGTCATTCCTCCTCCTCCTCCTGCTCCTCCCTCTCCTCCTGCTCCTCCTCCTCCTCCTCCTCCTCCTCCTCCTCCTCCTCCTCCTCCTCCTCCTCCTCCTCTCCTCCTCCTCCTCCTCCTCCTCCCCCCTCCTCCTCCTCCCTCCCCCCCCTCCCCTCCTCCTCCTCCTCCTCCTCCTCCTCCTCCTCCTCCTCCTCCTCCTCGTCGTCCTCCTCCTCCTGCTCCTTCCCTTCCTCCTCCTGCCCTGGTCAGCCGCCGCTGAGTTGCACCCCTTTCAGCTTTCAGTTCCAGGCCTCCGCATGTGAAGGACGGCTGATCTCAAGAGGCTCGGCGTTACGGCGATTTGGGGAGGGAGGGTGTGCGCCACCGCCAAGCTTCCGCGTCTCCCTTTTGGGCAAGGTCTCGGTGCAAATCGATCGGCCCCTGGTAAGGCTGGGAGGCCTCACGTGAGCCCAGAATGCGCCGGCGGAGGCTTGGCGGACGACGACGACGACGACGACGACGACGACGACGACGACGACGACGACGACGACGACGACGACGACGACGACGACGACGACGACGACGACGACGACGATCACGACGACACCGACGACAACGACGACGACAACGACGACGAGGACGACAACGGCGACGACGACGACGACGACAACGACGAGGACGACCTCGACGACGACGAAGTAGCATCGGCAAAGTTGCAACCTTGGTTGGAGTCCTACCGAGTCTGGCCCACTCCCGCCTAGCCTCGCAGAGTCCAGCGTAATCTGGCTCGATCCTTGGCCTGACCTGGCCTCATGTGTCTCAGACGCCCCATGGTTGGGCTTCATGTGCAAATCTCGCAGGAGCGACCTAATACTAGAGGATCCCTTCCTGCGGGCCAGTTCTTCGTCCCAGATGGTGGTTTCAGTGTCCTCGGGCCCGGGTCGGACCTGCGGAGCCCGAACTCCAGGAAAGACCTCTAGGCCTCCCAGATGGAGTCCGAGCAGATGTGGTCGGAGGGTCGTGCCGCATCGCCGATGCAAAGGAAATGCGGCTCGATGTGGGGCCCGACTCTCTTCACGCCGACGGCACCGATGTATCGCCGACGTCGCCAGCGTATCGCCGACGTATTGGCGATGCAGCGGCGATGTGGCGCGATCCTCCGACCCCATCTGCTCGAACCCCATCCCCAGACATCCAGCGCCTCGATTTTTGTTCGAGGCACGGGCCCCCGACCCCTCGACCACTTCCCTGGGACCAGCTTTGTCCCGAGCCATTTTTTGATGGCCCCGAGGCCTGGTTAGGGCCCTCAGAGGCCGACAACTATTGAAGAACCTCCACCTCGATCTCTTCGACACGCCCGAGGCCCGGGTCTGGGAGGCCCCTCAGGAACCACGGGCATCACACGGCAGTCGTGGCGCTGGCGGTCGGGACTCGGCCCTCCCGGCCGAGATCCCGGCGCGCCCTGGTCGGGGGCGGCCAAGAGGGGGGTGATGACGAGGGGGGGGTGCATGTCATGGCGTGGGCCATGATATTTCCTCCGGTTTCATGGCGCCTCTTCTTCTTCTGTCATTACGCCCCTGGGTCCCCCCCTGGGCCGCACACATGCCGCCAGCCATGATTTGCGCACCCCCCTCTTTGACGCCCGCCTCTTGGCCGCCCCCGACCTGGCGTGCCCCAGGGACTGGGTGGACAGACGACCCGTGCGGCGAGCCCTGGCGCCCTGGAGTGGCCCCCTGCGGCGCAGGCGTTCGTCAAAGACTGTGTGGGCATGATTCAGTGACCCCGAAAGGGAGTGCCGACCCCCCCGGGTTCCCTGAGCGCTGCAACTTTTCCGCGAGGGGCGTTTTCGCCCGATTGCGGGCCCCGGGACCTTCACAGATCGATCTGGCTCGAAAAATGACGCAGAAAGCTGGGGTCGAGGCCTCCGTTCGTGGTTTCTACCGATGCTGCATTTTTTTTCGCAACGCCAGATCTCAGCGAACGGGGGTCAACGATTCCATGCGTTCGGGGGGTTCCATATCTGATGAGGGCGGAGGTGATCTCCATTGCCAAGTCTCGATCGGTGTTCTGCCGGCTTCCAGGCCCTGGGTTTCTTATCGAAGGGTTCCTCTTCCAATGCCCTCACCGTAGTGTGTGGTCCTTCGCATGGGAGCCTCAGAGGGTTACAGATTTCCTTGTGGTTTGGGGGGAATTTCTTCCAGATTTCGTCGGAGCGTGGGCGAAATCTCGTCGAAATCTCGTGTATGATAGTAGCTCGGAGATCCACAGAGGCTCCCATGAAGGCTCACACAGCCACTACTCTTCCAACGACAGCGGGGGTCAGCCCCCCAGGGTTCATTTCGGTCCGACCAATCGGGTTCGATATCGATTCCGGCCAGCTCAATCCGATTCGACTCCGATATTCCGAGGATCCGATGCGCTCCGATGCATGGCGCTGCTATGTATTCTGGCGCGGCCGATCGATTCGATCCTGACCCTGTGCCGACGCGGTCCGATTCGATACGAGTTCTGATCCGGTCCGACCCATCCCCTGAGCTCCGACGTCGCTAATAACATCCGACGTCGCGAACAATCACGACGGGAGCTCCAGATCCCATCTTTCTGCGGCATCGTCCGAGCTGGATCGATCTGTGAGGGCCCCGGGGGCCCCAAAGCTCGCGAAAACGATATCTCCGACGCCCAGAATCTCGTGGTTGATCCGATGCCGCCCGCCCCCGTGCCACCCTTTGCACGGCTGGCGGACTCCTGCATCCTGCAGAGCCTGAAGCCCCTCGCGGACGTGGCCTTCCGCGGGCTCACGGCCGGCAACGCCGCCGCGGCCACCCGGCGGCTCTTCCGGGCGCTGCAGCAGGTGGTGCCCAACGAGTCCATCCGGGTGCTCCTCGGCCGCGTGGCGGAGGCCGAGAGGCTCCTCGGGCCAGAGGGGCAGGGGCCAGGGGCAACGCCAGGGGCACTCTTTTGCGAGGAGTTTTTTTGTTTGTTTGGGAGGTTGGAGTTTGGAGGAGGTTTGCCGACTGCCGACTGCTAGAGTGGTGCGCGGAGTATGGTCACCAGCACGGTGGGGAGAGCCCGCCCTGTGTCAGCGCCTGATGTCAGCTGCAGCTTGCTTTCCCGACGATCCGAGCCAGAAGCACCTCGCCTCTGGGTGTGAGGACGTTCGGAACCTGATGTCTGAGGCGGCCTCCGTGGCCCGTCAGGTCCGGCGCGCGCGGCGTGTCAGGATCCAGAGAACTGTGTTGGCCTCCCTGTTCCCTCGGATGCGTTTGAAGCATTGTTCTCCCGCAGTCTTCGGAGCTGGTTCCCTGTCCTCGAAGAGAACATCGGTGCAGTAGCACGTCGAAGTTCGAGGTATCACACGCTGTCGCCCTGGGTTCGGACGCCGTCTAAAGCTTGGCGGCTAACTCAAAGGAGGTTCCAGCACGTGGGTGCCTCGTGTGTCCTCGGATGCTCAGAGAGCCCAACTGCATGCGTCACTACTGGCGCTGCCAGTCCATGCGTGAGCTTGTTGTGGAGGTCGTCAGGGAAGGGGTCATGCACGCTGGGGGGTGGGACGGGATCGATCTCCTAGGCTTTCTCCCGATGCCCGGGAGTCTCGAGGTGCCGATCGTGCTTTGTTTGCTTTGTTCAGAGATGCGGGTCAGACGTGCCCGTCTATCCGGGCCTCTCGACAGGAGGGAGGCGCTTGCTCTCGTGCTCGTCGTGCGGGCCAAGCTGCGGCGCTAGTCGACCCGGCGCGGGAAAAGACTGCTGCCCGCCTCGGCTACGCGCGAGGAGTTCGTAGGAAGTTTCTGGGGCGTTGTCGACGTCCCTCGACGATTTTCCAGCCTCGAGGCGCTCGTTAGCAGCTGTGCCTTGCCGAGAGCGTTCTGGGGGTGCCCTGGTCGTCCCGAACGGCCGTCGGAGAACAGAGTTGTGGTCTGAAGATTACCGGGGACGGGAACTGACTCGGGGGGAGATGCATCAGTTCCCAATCACCCATTCATCGCCGACTGTCGCCCGATAGGCCACCTCTCCCAGGAATGCGGGGATTCGATATTTGTGGGGCCTGTCGCCGATGCGTCGGCCATGTACCACTCAGTCTGGGTCCGTGTACCCCAACATGAGCTGGTCCCCCCCGAACGCTTCCTTCTGAAAGTGGGGGTCGGGACGGGGGAGAGTCGAAAAGGAAGAACGCGTAATCGTAGGCTTTCGAGCTTCCCGCATAAACCTTCGAAAGTTTCTGTGCATGTGTTCGTTGCCGCTAGGAGGGGGAGGGAAAAGTCAGTAACCGATGAGTTTCGGGGCATGGCCCATCAACGTCGCAGCGCTGCTTTTCATCTCCTGCCGACAGCGCCGCACGTCGGCGGTTGCCACGCGTCTGGGAAGTTCAGTTCCAGCAGTTCGGGCCGCATCTCCTGCAGCAAGGTGAGGTGGTCATATCGTCAGGCAGGTCGTTGTTTCGAGCTACGTGCGAGGCGGCCATTTTGGCTCAAACGCCCTTCTGGTTCAAGGCAGCAGTGGCCAACTGAAAGTTGCCCGCTTTCGGCAACGGCTGTCGGCTGTCGGCGCCTGCGCTTGGCACCTGCCAAAAATTTTAACGAACACGCACTCCGCATGCTTGCCATGGTGCGCCAGCGTAGGAAGGCAACGGGTCAATGAAGGAATCAATCGCCGCCCGCATTGTCAGACATCCGACTCAGGCAGTCTGGTTTATGGATCCGCCGCTGGGCTCGTACAGAAGTGTCGGTTGACCAGGCGTCGCTCTTGACCTTCGGCATCGGATCGTCTTCCAAGCGGCCCGCGTCGCCTTTACCTGTTGTGGTCGGTGGCCATTGCAACTTTGGAGGGTTCGCACCCGAGCCTTTGCGGTCTGCACAGCACGTCGTGTAGTATCCACAGCGACGACACCAAAACAGCCTTCGAGCCAACAAAATACCAGTAGACCCCTGCACTTCTGAGTGGCCAGCCAGAATTGTTGTTCAGACGTCTCTCCGGCCATTTGCCCTCCAGGGCGCTCGAGCTGAGGCGTTGCATGTCTAAGGTGGGATGGAATGACTCCACGTGGCTGTTGACAGGTTTCGCCATGTCATTCGACGAAGCGTCGATGTATCAGAATCGTGTTGTCCCATATCCCCTCCCGTATGCGTCGTCATCGTGCTCGCTTGGCGTCGTCGTTGCAAGTCACTCTATTGTACTTGCCTCTTCAGGTTCTCGTCGCGACTCTGCCGACACTGGCAGCTGCCAGGTGTCGTAAGCCGAACCAACGAATAACAAAACCGCACAGGCTCCACGAAGGCTTGTTGACACGAGTAGCCAATACTGCCTGGCACTATAGCGTGTAAGGACGTTGGGATCGCCTCAGTCCTGCGCTCCTGCTTGGTGACCTTTTTCCGGCGGTCAGGGAGAGGAAGAAGGAAGGACGGGGGGAATAAGTGGAAGGGGAAATGGAGCGAGCGGGGTGGATGAGGATGATACAGATGCGAGGATGAGGGTGAAGATCAGGATGATAGGACGATGTTGGTAAGGCGGTTAATGTGGGTTAGGATGATGGTTATGATTTATGATATGATGTTCTGATCATGATATGATGATGACGATTCTGATGCGGATGGTGATGATGCCTGCTGTGGCGATGAAGATGACGAGGGTGAGGATGATGGTGGTGATGAGATGAGGAGGGTTATCATGATGGTAATGGTGATGCTGATCGTTTCGATGCTGAGGAGCATTACGACGACGGCGACGACGACGATTATGATGTTGAAATTTGCGATGGTGATGACGATTATGATGATGATGATGAGGATGATGATGACGATGACGATTCTGATGATGAGGAGGAGGAGGCTTGTGGTAACAACAATGACTATGACGTGGGTGGCGACTGCTAGGATGATGATGAGATGGATGATATGAATGAGAAGGATAAGGAGAAGGCAGGGGGAGAGTGGAGATGAGGGAAGAGCGGGGGGAGATGAAGGAGGAGGAACACGAGGAGTGAGGAGAAAGGTGGGGAGAAGGGGAGGGTAGAGGAGGAGCGGGGCAGGGAGCAGGGGGGAGGAGACCGCCCCTGCGAGGCCCTGGGAGTACCTCGTGGAGCAGACCACCGCTGGCCTCTCCATGGCCCGCGGGCTGGTGCAGAGACCGTCCCCCTGGGGACAATCACCAACGAGGGCGATGGCGCCTCGCGCTTCCTGTTTATCCCCGCCACCACTCTCCACTCACATCCAGTCGTCGCGTAAACCAAGCACGACGGGCACTCCCCCCCCGTGTCAGACCCCCAGGCCCTCGCAGATCGAGCCCGACCGGCTTCTCTGCATCCCCGTCACCGCTCTTCTTCCCTCACAGCTGGGTGCCGCGTACAAGTGCACAACGGGAACTTGCGCCCTCCTTCAGGCCACTGGGCCTTCGCAGATCGATCTGGAGCGGAAGACGTCGCACGCAGACTTGGTCGGGAGGTTCCTTCATGATTTTTCGAGACGTCAGGTATGTCAGGGCATGATCTCAAGGTCCTCCTCCACCGCCCCCTCCTCCTCGACCCTCTCTTCCACAGATGACTGCGCTTCTAAGCCGTGCCAGGTCAGGCCAACTTTAGCTTTGCTTCATCCCCTCCATGTGGCGGCCAGTTTTTTACGGGTTGGTAGCGCGAGGCCCCCCCAAAGCGGGGTCCGATGCTTGGCCTTCTGATGGGAATGGCCTCCCAGGCTTGACCATCTGGTCTCTAAGTTGCGACAGTTTGTGGCTGCCTCCTCCGCCGCTCATGATTTTCGCTGATCGTGATTTTGCTGATCACCTCCGTAATGCTTCCCCTCCTCTCTCCCTCTCCTTCCCTCCTTCCCTCCTTCCATTTTGGCTCACCAGTCTTCTCTCCCTCCTCCTTTCCCCTCCCCCCCTCCCCTTTCCCCCCCTCCCCCGCCCAGGTCCATGACCACGCCCATCGTAAACTACTGGACCCCGATCATGATGCACCTGCCCTCGATCTACACGCGGCTGTCCATCCTGCGTCCCCACGTGCCGGTGAGGGGGAGGGAACAGAGGGGAGAGCTCGGCCGCATGGCAGCTGGGATGTGTGGGACAAAACTAGAAGAATCGCAAACATGGATTCAGGCGCGTGGATTTGCGACGGGTCCCGTGTCCATACGAACGCGACGTCTTCCGTTGGCAAATGAGGCGGCGCTGGCATCATGTCTCATGGGTGCTTTCCACGATCCTTAGACATGGCGCCCACGCCCCAGGCCCACGGATCCACGATCCATGTTCGCGCGTGCCCAGAAAAGAAGGAGCCAGGGCCCCAGATGCCAGGATTTTGCAAACCAGGGCTTTGCCAGATCAGAGGAAACGAGGAGTGGAGAATGTTTCGACCCAGGACCGCAGTGTTCTCTGGGCGCGCCAACTCCCCAGTTCATCACAAAGTGCCCGTCTGCGCGGCCCTGACACGGGGGGAGGGCAAAAGAGTATCAGTTACACGCCGCTGTTCTAAGCCCGTCAGCATGTTACTCCTTCATTATTGTCCGGAGACCTTTTGCTTCAGGAGGGGGAGAAACACAGACACAATTTGTCGTCGACCCCCAGGAAATATATTATCATATGGGAAGTGGGGGAAGAAACAAACAGGAAATATGCGAACATCTGGGGAATCCTGCTATCTCTGTGCATTTATGTGTGCGTGTCCCTGGGCCCCATTCCTTGTTTCGTCAGCGTCGAAGACGCTGACGGGCTCCCAACGGCGGCGTGTCGCTGAGATTGTACGATGCTGTGTTTTTGCTGCACCTCCAAAGTGTGAGGGGCTTGCTTTCCATCACCACCACCACCACCATAAGCTGGAGGGGGTAAGGAGGACGAGGAGGAGGAGGAGGAGGAAGAGGAGGAGGAGGAGGTCGCGGAGGAGGAGGAGGAGGATGAAAAGGAGGTGGAGGAGGAGGAGGAGGAAGAGGAGGAGGAGGAGGAGGACCCCCTCCCCCTCTTACTTGTGGTGGTGGTGGTGGAAAACAGGCCCACCAGAGAGTGAGGGCGAGGAGGGGCGTGCACCTCTCCTGCGCCCCTCTTGGAGCCGGGGGCGGCAGTTTCGGGGCCCCCGTGGGGCCCCCTTCGGGGCTGCCTTCCTGCACCCCTCGTGCGCCCTCCGTTGATGCCCGCTCCCTTCTTGTGAGCGTCCACGCGAGTGCGGAAGGAGGAGGAGGAGGAGGAGGAGGGGGAGGAGGAGGAGGAAGCCCCTCGACGCTCCATCACTGGGCCCCTTCCCTCCGAAACAGGCTTTGCACACCGAGTCGTGTCGTCGGCGGCCCCGTGGGGCCTCCCGAGGGCCGGACCGCGGAGGCACAGAAAGAGGAGACAACGAAAGGGGGCTGGGTGGGGGAGCATTTTCCAGGAGGGCGCATGGACATTGCGGGAGTTTGCCTCCGAGTCGCCCCCCCGCAGTCCCGGCGGGTTCGCTGGATGCACGTGCAGTAGGCACGTCAGACAAGAATGAGTTTGCCAGCCGGTGCCCCAGGGAACTTTCCAGGCCCCCGATTGCTTCGGGACCCCAAAGCAGCCCTGGGGCGTCTTAGGACAGCCCCAGATCGACGAAGAAGATGCACCGCGATTTGTTATCGCAAGATCTCTGACCGTATGTGTCTACCGTAATGCTGGCAGCCCCCGGGCTGGGAGAGCGGGAAGGCGATTGTGCGGATCCTGGACCCGTATTTCGAGATCGTGGAGCCCTACCTGGACAGGATCATGGAGCGGATGGACAGGACTCCGGATGGGGAGGAGTGGGGGGGCGGGGGGGGATCAGGGAGGGACGGAGGGCATGCTGCGGGGGGAGGGCTGCAGAGCGCCACCCGCAGAGCGCAGGCCGCCCCATGGCTCGCTCCTCTCGGGCGTGTGCCGGTCGCACTCCGCCGCGCATTCAACAAATTGCATGCCCGTCCTGGCCCGCACAGCCTTTCCAGCCCAAGCCGTCCCACCCCAGCCTTCGGAGGAGGAACAGGTACCGTTACCGCTGCTCGTCCTGGAGAGCTCTTGTCGCCATGGCCAGATTTCCTTCGAAATTCGAGTCGGAATGCATCCAGGGAGACGTCCGCGGAGTAGCGGTGTAGGGACTGTTTTTCCCCCCCCCCCCCTCCGCCCGCCCCCCAGACACACCCGCTGAGTCCGAGGACGGCAGCATCTAAGCTGCCACAGGCTGGCGTGGAGGGATGGATGAAGTGTGACGAAGCACGCGGTGCTGACATCGCAACAGCCATCAGCACAGTGCATGACCGGTGTGACATGAAAAGGAGGGAAGGGGTAAAGACTTAGGAGGGAGAAATGCGGACAAAGAGAGGAGTGGTACATGCTACCGAGTCCCCACTTTCGGCCACCGGAGACAGAAAGAGTATTGACTTGCGAATGTGCCAAGCGAAGGGTGGGAGGCGCAATCAGAAAGCCGAGTGGCCCATGGATATCCTCAGACCCCCGACGTCCTGACTTTTTCCACGTGGGGACCAGGATGTCTTGACCTCCCCTCCAGGACCCGCCTTTCAGCCCGAGTCGACTGTTTGTCCGCCCTCCTATAGGACCATGCGAAGGCCCCCAGTGGACGGAAACGGCAACAAAATACGTCCGCACATGCTTATTCATGACGACATCCAGACTTCCCCCGATTCAGATTGTTCAATCCGCGACCCCAGAGGTCCCGACCCCTTCCCCAGGACGAGTGTTGCGTCCCAAGTCATTGTTTCACAGTCCCGGGGCCCAAGTACAGACCCCAGAGGGCGAAATTGAGAAAGAGCGCCGAGACTGAACAAAAAAGCATGTCATCGGAGATCTGTGAGGAGGGGGTCTGGGTCTCTCTGGCTGCCCGAAGGATCGAGCCGCACCTGCCCTACATCCTGCTGCACCTGGACGTGCTCGCCAAGCACTGCGGGCCTCTGCTCGACCACTTCGACACGCTCATCCCCTACGCCGAGAACAAGTACACGCTCGGCAGGCGGGAGGGCGTCGCGCAGTGCTTCACCGCCCCGGAGGCTCGGAGGAGAAGCAGCACACCGACACGGGCTCCCGTATCCTCGTCCTCGCCCTCTCGGGCCTCGTGGGGGTCCCCGGTCGCCGCGGCCGGATCCGCGTCGGAGTGTCCTGGTCAGGCTGCGCGTGGGAGAGGTCCCGGAGAACGGTCTTCGCCACGGCCGGGCTCTCCCCCATGCTGGTCCGAGCGCCCCGCTGGAGAGGTCTGGGGAGCAGCGGCAGGAGTTTTGTTGTGGCTGCGCCCCCTCGAGGAGCAGATCGAGCAGTGCGTGATGGCAAACTGGGACGACGGGCAGGAGGACTACGAGCTCAGCGAGGGGTCCAAGACATACCTGCCCAAGCTGCTGCCGTACGTGGACGTCTTGGTGCCGCAGCTCGACGAGCTGGCCCCGCACCTGCCGCTGGTGCACCCCCATCTGCCCCACATCCTGCCGTACATGGACAACTTGTTGCCCATCATCCCTCGGTTTGTCAAGTATCCGGATGCGTCAAGAAATGCAGACGTCCTGATCGGCTACTTGGGGTGGATCCTTCGGCTGCCCTTCCTCCCGCAGATCTTGGCCATACCAAGGGTCCCCTGGCTGATCGCAAAGCTGAGCACCATCTTGCCGCGGAGACCTATCCGGGGGATGCTTGAGAGGCGCCGGTTGCAGCGTGAGGAGGCGGAGCGCCTTGCATTCCTCAGCGCGTCGCTGGAGGAGCGCAGAAGTACCGCTCTCGCGCCAGCGTGATGCTAACGCCGTAGGGCGGCCCGCGACATGTTCAAGCGGCAGATCCCCCTTCCAGCGCCTCTTCAGCGAAGTCCCCTTCTCGGCGGCGCGCCCAGGGGGGAAGGGCAGAGGGGGCGAGCCTTCTCCGGGGCAGCCTTCTGGGCCTTCCTCCGAAGGCACGGGGAGCCTCTCGGAAGGCCAGCTGGGGTTCTGAGAGGCCCCGCCGCCTTCCGCGAAGGGCCCCCACTCGCGCTCCCCCCCTCGGCGCGCCGCCGCGGTTCTCGCCGGGTCCAGAAGGTGCTCTCGCACGGGGGCAGGTGGGAGGCTCGGAGGAGTGGGAGGGGCTCGATTATCTCGATGACCCATGGAGCGTAGGATCGACAACACTGACCCTTTAACGGTGGAGTGATAGGGGCTCGATGATCTCGATGATCTCGATTGACCCGTTGACCTCCACCGACAAAACACTGGGGCCCTCGGCGGCACTCGCTGCACGCTGCACCTCGCTCCACACTCTGAGGGACCCGTGTGGACGAGCGAGCGCGCGCCAGCGTCGGCGCGAGTCTTCCGGATCGGTGCTCACGTCGCACAGGCTCCCACCCTGGGCTGCCTTAGACGGCCCAGCAGGCGGGCCCCTCCCCTCCCCGAGGTTCCTCCACGCATCCCCTCGCCTGCCCCTCTCTCTCCCTCTTCCTCTGTCTCTCTCTCTCTCTCTCTCTCTCCCTCTCCTTCCGCGCCAGCCCGCCGAGTCGCCTGCCCCCGGCCGCACGGCCAGCCAGCCCACTCACCTGCCCCCGCCGCCTGCCATCCGTCGCCGCCGAGGGGAGGAACCAGCGTTTCCTACTACTAGAGTAGGGCATCGATCACAGAACTGATTTACCCCATAATTGAGTTTCTCGTCGGCCCATGCGTATAATGCTTCTATACCTACGATTATTCTACGCAGTTCTCACGGGTTTGACGCATACATCGATTTTTGGGTAACTCAATTCTGTAGTCGATCCCCTACTCGAGCTACAGAGGAGAACGGCTGGAAAGCGCCCTCGGGGGCTCGGGCGGAACAGCCGGGACGGGGGCCAACTCGCAACGCGGCGTGGAATCTGCACGAGCGGGGGCCTCCAGATGCGTTGCGCTTCTGTTTCCCCCGCGCCCGCTCCCTCGACGAGGAGGCTCCCATCCCCGAAGCCCTCGTCGCCCTCGTGGGCCCCCGACGGAGCTCCTCAAAGGGCCCGACGGTGCGCTGGGGGGGGCATGCGAAGTCGCCCAGCACACGTGGGGAAACGGGCCCCGGGGGACGGGCCCTCTCGCGGCGGGCGGGTGGTGGTGGGGAGTGATCCAGATTGGGTTGGAGGGAGAGGCCCCGAAGAGGCCCTTCCAGGTCTCCTCTGGGCACCCACCGGCTCCAACAGGGCCCCTTTCAAAACTCGTTTCTCCACCCCCCCTCTTTGGGCCGCTCCCCACTGGCACCCGCCCGATCGGGGCGGTCGGGGCCTCCAGGCGCGATGCCGTCGTCGCTCTCCGTGCCTCCCCGCGCCCACGCCCTCGACAGAGGGGCCCCCGCCCACAGCGTCGCAATCACCTTCCGGAGTGGGCACCTCTCGGGGCGCCAACGGCCCCCGGGGCTTCCTCGGGGCTCCCCGGGATTCCTCGTGCTTCTCTTGGCCCTCCAGGCGTCTCGTGGTGCGTCCTGTGCCTCGCGGTCTCTCCCAGGTCGCCCCTGGGGGCTCCCGAAGGCTCCAGGAGCCTTCTCGGGCGTCTAGGGCCCCCCCTCCCGTGCCGGTGAGGCAGAGGAGGGCAGGGGAGGAGGACCTCGAGGGGGACACGGAGGAGGGAGGGGGTGAGGAGGGCGAGGGGCACGAGGGGGCATGAGGGGGCAAGGGGCGGGGGAGGGGGATGAGGGGGTCGGGGCCCCGCGCGGGTGTCCCCCGAGCCTCCCGCCAGTCCTCACGGTGCACACGCCCCCGCGCGCGGGGGGCGCGGCCGCAGGGGCTCCCAGAGGGGTTCGGGGTGCCCTGAGATCCTGGCGCTGCCGTTTTTTCGAGCTGAGCTCTCATCCCCCCGGTTTTGGGGCCCGGGACCCTCACAGATCGCTCCGGGCTGACAAATGGCGCAGAACGATGGGGTCCGGGGCTCTGGCCCATTTGTTGCGATGCTTGCAGTTTTGTTTGCAACGCCGGATCTCAGGGTAGACGGGGTCGAGCCCCATCGCTGATGCATCCTCGATGCGGCTCGATGTGGAGCCCGATTCTCTCGACGCCGACGGCGCAGATGTTTCGCTGACTTTGTCGGTGCATCGCCGATGCGGCGCGATCCTCTGATCCTAGCTGCTCCGGCCCCATCCAGGAGGCCTCTCCGAGAACAGTTGCGATCATCCTGCAGTCATCAGTGGTCTGGTGGAGAGGTGAAGGAGGTAGAGAGGAAGGAGCATGAGGAGGGAGGAGCATGAGGAGGGAGGAGGGAGGAGGAGGAGGAGGAGGAGGAGGAGGAGGAGGAGGAGGAGGAGGAGGATCCAGAGAGGAGGGCTCGATCAAATCTCACCAGGCGCAGGTGGCGCTTGTCGAGTCCTCCTGTCCCGCTCCGTCCGGCCTTCACACCTGCCCGCCCAGTAAGAGTGCGCTGTCTCCGTCGGAGGCGCAGGACCTTCTGTGTTGTTTACAGCCAGCTGTAATTTTTTAAGACACGGAGTTTTCGAAGGCACATCTCCGACCTCGCGCGTTCCGGTGTGGGGCTCGAGGTGCGTTTCTATCCTCTCCGTGGAGCGGAACGAACCCTCAAGACCTTTCTCCTCCACTTCCTCAGTGTCGCCGCTCTTCTCGCCCTGAATGAGCGATATCTTTTTTTGTTGTCTCTCTCTCTCTCTCTCTTGTTTATTTTCTCTCTCTCTCTCTCTCTCTCTCTCTCTCCCGATCTCTATGCATGTAGAGATACAAGGGAATTTGCATACAAGTCGTCGAATAGTCGTCCCCAGTGGACAACCGAGCATGCACGAACATGAGAGAGAGAGAGAGAGAGAGACGGAGATCGAGACAGCGTTATCTCTCTAGAAGCATACTTTCCCAATTGGTTGCGAAACTACAATCACAGTTGTGGCAGAGAGAGAGGGCGAAATATAGATAGAGAGAGAGAGAGTGAGAGAGAGAGATGGAGATGATATCAAGAGAGAGGGAGAGAGGTAGTCACGGCATCGTACTGCCAGCCGCGATTGCTTCAACGTCACGATAAGGTTTTGACATCTGCTCGAGGCTGCCAGAAAAGGGGAGCATACCACTTTGTCTCTGTGTGCAGATCTTGCCCGCGAGGCAGAAGAAAGGCGTCCCTCGGGAAGCGGAACCTGGCCTCGGGGGGGGGCCCGGGACCTCTTGCAGCGCCGCTCAAGCACCCCCTTGTACGATGTGCGCGTCGCCCCCGCAACGGGCGACGCGCGCGCTGGGACATCCTGCAGTATAAGCTCCGTGGCGGGCGCGCTCTGGCCAGCCATACCGCCTGGGGCACGAGATACGATGAGCCTTTTGCGTGCTGTTCTGTCATGCCCATGCCGGACGTGCGTCTCCAACATCGCCACGTGTGGTGCAGTCGAGCGTCTGGTTGAGAAACCTCCTCGCGAAAAGCTGGGCCAGCGCTTCTCACCCGCTCGCCGGAGAGCTGGCCTGGTTCCTTGACCACGTTCGCCCCTCCAGCGTGAACAAAAGAACTTTGCCCAGCTTTGTCTTCAGAAACTTCCGGGAAGCTGGCCCAGATTTCTTGAATGATCAGGTTCTTGATCATATCTTTGGCTGTGCTATAATATTACGTCCTCCTGCGCCCCATTCCCACCCACCAGAGCGCACCTGGTCCCCCCGGGGACCCCACGGCCCCACACCCCCAGAGTGGCTCACGGTGGCCCCCGCAGGATTCTGGGAGAAGCCTCCGAGGGCGCCCTGGGCCTTGGAAGTGTTTCTTTTCCCTGGAGGCATGCGGCAGTGAAACACCTCGGGCTTTTTCAGTGCTCTGTGCCCTCCGGGCTCCTCTCTGGCTTGTCGCTCCCCCCCCCCAGACGGCACACATTCTGACTCGGCGGCGAGCGAGGGGGGGAAGTGAGAAGGAGAAGGCCGTCTCAGAAGGCGGCGGGACCTCTCAGAAGCCCTCGCGCTTTTCTGAGAAGTGTTCTGTGTCTTTGGTGAAGGCTTAGAAAACTGCCCAGAAGGCCGGGGGACTGCCAATCGCACGACTCACCATTCCCACCCCGGCTCTGTGGTGCACCGGCGCCCGCATGGACGGTGCCGAGCACCCGAGCCCGACCTTGCCACATCCCGGAGTCCTTCACCTTCTGAGGGCGCTCCGGCCGTCTCTCTATCGGCCCTCCCCCCCTCTTCCCGGCCCTGCCTTCCCCCGCTTTCACACTGTGCCCAGCGCGCTTCCGGCGAGCTCCGCGGATCGCCGACCGCCCGCTGGATGCAGCTCACCGCCAATCAGAAGGTGCTCTCCTCTCTTCATCGGGAGCAGAAGAGCCCCTAACCCCAACAACCTGGTGGAGACGTGGCCTCCCTTGGGTCCCCGTCTTCGCACTGGGGATCAGTTGAGAGA